AGGACCAGAGGGTTCTGGGTTGGAGTCCCCGGGGGAACCAGGACCTTTCTGGGTGGAGTCTGCATGTTCTCCTGTGTCTGTGGGTTCTCTCCGGGTTCTCCGGGTTCCTCCCACTGTCCAAAAACCTGCATAATTAGACATTCCAAATTGCCTTTAGGAGTGAGTTGTTGGTCCTTGTGTGTCTCTGCGAGTCCCTGCGATGGACTGGGGACCGTCCAGGGTGACCCTGCCTCTCCCCATTGACCACTGGGATAGGCCCCAGTCCCCCCGCAACCCCATTAGGGAATAAGCGGTTATGAAGATGGACGGATCTTGAAAAAGTTTCAAGAAATCCAAATGTTAGGTTTTAGGACAGAAATCCTTATATAAACCCTCTTTCTTCCTTAGCTTTGTTGCTTTTGTCCAGATTGAATTTAACCCTCCACTACTGCGACCGCATTCACACTTCAGCCTGCAGATCTGTGAGTGTGTGGCGCCCTCTGAGCCTTCACCTGAACCCAGGAGCCACCGATTAGATTATCATCCACTTTCAAAATCCTCCAGGCCTCCAAATCAACAGGATCAGAGCAATAAAAGCAGAGCAGACGGACTTAGAAAGAATCCCAAATTCACTTAGCCGGGCCTGAATCCAGTCCCTGCTCTCGGGTGTGAGAGGTGTGTATTTGAAGTCCCCTTTTTATTTGGAGGGGCCAAGGCTCATGAGCCATCTGTTCGTGCTCATGAAAGTCAAATTGCTCATTGATATTTGAATAAGAGGTTTAGGAATGCTGGAGTGAGTCTATTTGTTTGGGGAAGGTTTTTACGTTCCACTGGAGAGCTGCTAATGGAGACACATTTTGTCTGATAAAGGTGAGAATGGTCTGGGGGGAGATAAGGCGGTTGTCAGCTTAAAGAGATCCAGACACACTGTACCAGGGATCTGTGCAGTCTGCTGGCTGGATCTGTCTTTTTTCATACTACCTCTACATGTTTTGACATAGCCCTTTTTTTTGTTGGTTACAAAATTTAAGATTGGAAATGCACAGCCCTCAGAATCCAAGTTGTGTATTTATATAATGTCCAAATATACAAAAAAAAACACTTCATGAATAGTATAGAGGCAGTGCTTCAATTAAAGCTCATTCAAAATTAGTTTTGTGATAGGTTTTAAATCTCCTCTTCCTGCAAAAAAATAAATAAATAAATATATATATATATATGTGACCCTACTTGAAATAAGCAGTATATAATTCTAATATTTCTCCAAAACTTTTTTAAAAAAACATTAAAAAAATTATACTTTGATTCTAAGCTTTGATGTACTTCACCTTGTACCTTTTTTCTCCCTTTTGCTATTGCCTTTTATAAATAATTGAAAATATTGCACTGTTTTTCCCAATATTTCTATGGGCCAGAACTTCATAAACTAGATTCCAATCGTTTGGTTCAAAGTTTAGATCATCCTAAAATGTATAAATTTAAGTACAGCGCTTTCAAACATGCCTGAATGATCAGTATAATAAAAATGTGTTTTGTCAGTAAAGGAATCCAGCTTCCAAACTGAGATTTTACTGAAAGAAAACAAAGAAAATACAGAGCAAAAAAGACAGACGGATGGAAGGATGACGACGTTTAACCGTGCAGATACAGAACAATAGCAGGACTGAGACAAGGAGATTTATGGGTGATAGCGTGTCATTATCAGAGAGGGAAGCATCTTACATTTTGATATGTTGCCAGCTGTGACAGAGCAAGTGGGTTTCTCGATTGCTTTCATACATGGCACCCAACGCACACACGCAGAGGGCAGTGAGGCATAAAATTGGGCACCCGCCACATATTGGGAGTGGGAACGGCAGGCTGCTGGGCTAAAGTTGCACTGATTGTTTCACAGAGACAACACACACACACGTGAACTTTCTGTCAAACAGCGCAGCGGCGTTACATCTGTAGGCCTGCTAAGCGCACTCGTTTCTTCATCAAGAAAGTAATAAAAGCCATCTACACTTGGAAATGACTCCCTCGTACAAACAAGACTGCATATGAACACTCAAACTAAAGAAGTGCTCAATGAACAGAAAAAACTCTTGTTTTACCTCTTGATTGCACCAAATAGACAGAAGGATGAGCAGTAACCTTTTCAGAGAAACAAAGGCAACAGCTTGTTTGATGAAATATGAAATATGATGACCGTTGTGAATGCTTAACCTCCTGATAGTCCAGCTTTTGTCTGCTGTGTGTTGCTGCTTTGTTCCAGATCTCTGGATCAGTAGGAGCTGATAAGTTTGATAACTAGACTTTGTCCTGGTTCAGGTAGTTTTTCTTCAGTTGTTGATATATCTGTATTTAAAATGTGTATTTATTTATTCAAAAGTTTTCTCTGCAATTGTGTTTTCTGAAAGTCCAATTACAACATTTGAATTTCACAATAAGGCCATTAATGGTTGACAATGTATTAAACGATTTTATTTAAGATTGAAATTTTTTGTGTTTGATCACATCTACTTTGAGGCCAAGAGGTCAAAGTAAAAAAAAAGAAATATCAAGGTAAACAGAGGCAGAAATGCAGCGTCCTCATATGAGGATGCTGGGACTCAGGAGGTTAGGGTGCTTTTATGTGATCCAAATCAGAGTGGGAGTTGCACACTCTTAAATGGTAAAAGTCCCGTTGTCCCTCTGTCAGATATGGAAAGCGCTCAGCTCAGGAGGACGTGGTGGCCGAGTTGCTGTTTGGCGGTGACAGCAACAGAGACCAGAGATCAAGGTACGGACCCTCAAAGGGAGGGCTGACGCGACCAGAGAATAGAGGTTTGAACTGACAATAACAGCTACATCTTTGTCTTCCTACCTTCCAACAGATATGATGAAGCATACATGTGGTGACTCCACCATCCTCCTACCTCCTCAGCAGGCATTCCCTTTGGGTGCATCCCTTATTGCACCTGGAGGGGCCAACATGTGCCTCTCATCCCACCTGAATCCAACTAAATGACCATCACCAACTGGAAAACACACCCCCTTAAAGTCTCTCACCATGTTTTACATCTATGTCATCACAACACCGCTGTACATAATTTATTAATTGAATTAAATACATGTGTAAAATCAGAGCAACTAATCATAAAGTGAAACTTTGTGTGTATGCGTGTGTTCGAGCATAAAGTTCTTGGTGTCTATCACTGTTTAGAGGAGAAAATAGTTGTTTCACTGTTGCTTGTGCAAAAAATAGCATCAGAATAAAAATGTTTTCTGTCAGATTAAGATTTCTTTCAGAGTTTTGTGTATGGGGTCAGGTTGATACAGTTGATTTCACATTCACACCACATTTCTTATCATCTTAGAGGTCTCGTAGAGTAGATTGTCCAGTCCGTTAAAAAAAATGTTGTCGACAGCATTAGTTGAAACCACAGAATTACATCTATGCAGATCCCTACCTCCACTTAATTTGTTCTAAATTCACTGGGGAGACATTGATGTGGAGCAATTTCAGCTGAAATAGTCAGTTTTCCCCATTTTGTTTCCAGAAAAAGCATAAGTCAATGGCCCAAAGGCAGGGCACTAACTGTAATCCAAGGAGGTGACTGTAAAAAACATAAACCTTCTACCATGAGTATACATAAAGAGCAATATTTAAACCAGAAGAAACAACAGTAAAATAGACCATGACATAAAGTGGATGTTCCTCTGAATTCCTCCAGTGTGCACTGAAAACATTAAAATGAGCCACCCGATTAGATAAAACAGCTATTATATGACAGTTAACTGGGTTAAATTTGCTTTCAAGTATATTTGGCAGCACGTTTCTTTAATTGTCCCTGAAGGCAAATGAGAAGCCTTGTGGGCATTCTTCAGAATCTATTAAAAATAAACTGTCAGATTTATATTTTGTAACCCAGAAAGTCTGCCGATAATTGTACGTCTGGGGACTTTTTGTCAAATTTATCATGGCTAAGTAATAATTCTTGACCCATCAAATCACAACCAACACGATTCAGTGAAAATGTAGTACTAAAAAGTGTCCACTGCGTGGCCCTGCTGAGCTGCAGCATTTTTTACTGCCCACTGCTGGAACATCCCTGCAGTGAATTAATGTTTGGGTCCATCTGTATTTAAAATATTTAAACCCAAGAGTTTTATTTCGTAAAATATAGAACTCACGAAACGAAACAGAGGTGTCGAAGAGAAGGGGAAAAAATAAAATAAAAATCAATAAGCACCCCCCCCCCCCTTTGTTTATGTATTTATTTATTTATATCCAGTCGTAGACTACTAAACAGTGAATTGCTAGTTGAACATTGTAACCGGAACTAGGAATGTTGATTAGAAATTATTTTAAAACATTTAAAAAGTTATCCCATTCAGTGCTGCTCAAGTGCCTGACGAATTTAAAATTACATTAAATTATCATTCAATCAACCAAAGCTAGTGAAAATGGCCGGGGAAAGGCGTTTTATCGAAAATCCCTGGGCCAAAAGTGATGTTATTCTGAAATCCTTCCGGAAGTTGCGCGTATTTTCATGCCTCAGTGACACTGCTGCCGTGGCGCACGTCTAAGACGAACGAGACGACAACAAGACACGCACGAGACATCACAGACAGCGGGAAGCTTGTGTTTTTTGCGTTCAACGGTAGGTGAGCTGCCCTTTTTACTCGCCGGAGACATGTCGCAACGGGGAGCCTCCGTTTCCCCCGTTTATCTCACTCCTCGCTTGTTTATCGGGACAACGCAGCTATAATTAAGCTTGGTTTGACAGAGGCGCGTGCGCGGTGATATCGGCACGCGCTCGCACTCAGGCCGCGATAACCAAATATACATTGAAGAGCTTTTGAATGGACGAGCTGCTACGTTCACGCTGGTGTGTGTGTGTGTGTATGTGTGTGTGTGTGGTGCTTTGTTAGGTGGGACCCGAGAGACTGATGAAGGGACCCTCTCCTTTGTGTGCACCTGTGTTGTTGATAAGAAAAAGTTGCCATTTATTAGTCTCCAGTAAAGTAGAGCCCCTAAAACCCTCAGAGACGTCGGCATTTTGTGTCTACCTCAGTACAACCGTGACTCTCAGGTGCAAACACGCTAAATGTTCCCGCAAAATTTAGGTTGGGACCTAATTGCAACGCAGTTGTGTACCAGATGTCTATCTTTTCCAACGTGAAAAGTGTCGCCTCTTTACTAACTACAGATACCACCTTCTTTTTTAAGTTGTTCTTAGAGAAAATTAGCAAAAGGACGGTATTCTTTCTCCAATCATTCCACTTGATTTATTAATAATTAGCAAGAGTTGTGAGTTTTCTAAAGGTAGGACAATGTAATTACAGGCAAGCTGTGTTTCGTTTGTGTGTTTGTTTTTTTAGCACAGGCCTCACACCAACTATTCTGAAGTGTGTTTTTTCTTTATTTATGCAGCTCAGCAGATGGATGGCGGTGGGAGACGAGGGGAGGATGGGCGGTGATGAGGGGGTTGGAGGGTTTTGGGGGGGGTTGTCTTTGCATAAATAACAGTAATAGATGGGAGGATGTTGGGGAAAGAGAATAAAGAGGGGGGTCACGGGGAGGTCTGGCATGGAGAGCAGAAAGAGGAGAGAGGAGAGAGACAAAGGGGAGCTGGAGGAGAGCGCGAAGGAGGAAAAGTGCAATGAAGGAGGGATGAGGGAGGGAGGGAGAGAGACTGTAGTTGAACTGTATTGTATTTTTAGATCAGACAAACACAAGTGCGTGTTTGGACTGGATGAAGTAATTCTACTAAACCAAAGGGGCTGGATTGTTTCTGATCTCATACACAATCAAGTCCATCAAGACAGTTATTTTAGGAAATATGTTTCTCTAAATATTTGTACTTTTTAAGTTCTATGTTTTTATGCAAATAGCTCCTGACATTGTACAATGTTTTGTTCTTTATTGGATAAAAACCACGTCCAAATGTAGCGGCAGTGAAAAACGACAGCCCATGATCTCATAGTTTATTTCATCAACCTCAGCTGAAATGACTTCACCTTAACTGCTATAAGTTAAGATATTTTGAGCCCGAACATGATTAAAATGTCACTTTGTGTATGTAGAGTCGTCATCACTGGTTCCTCTGAAGAACACACCAGAACCAGAGCTCGACTGGGCCGTTGGAATGCGTTGATCCTTCTTATGTTTCCCTTATTGGGCTGAAGCTTTGTTACTCTTTTTTTGTTGCATTTTAATATGTAGTTCTCTTTTTATATTTTTTAGAGCAAGTGTCTCTCCATTTGTCTTTTATCTCTGAAGGGCTTTTTTTCTCAGAAAAATGCAGCCACTCAGAACGTGTGATTTTTCTCAGCTGTTTATTATAAGACAGCAAGAAGCAATCTTGCAAATCTTTCCTTATTTGGAAAGATTTCTGTTTCAACTGAATATTTTCCGCTGGTGGATATACAGGGATTGGACAATGAAACTGAAACACCTAGTTTTGGACCACAATACTTCATTAGTATGGTGTAGGGCTTCCTTTTGCGGCCAATACAGTGTTAATTCATCATGGTAATGACATATACCTGCACAGTGGTCAGAGGGATTTTAAGCCATTCTTCTTGGAGGATAGTGGCCAAGTCACGACGTGATGCTGGTGGAGGAAAATGTTTCCTGACTCGCTCCTCCAAAACACCCCAAAGTGGCTCAATAATATTTAGATCAGGTGACTGTGCAGGCCATGGGAGATGTTCAACTTAACTTTCATGTTCATCAAACCAATCTTTCACCAGTCTTGCTGTGTGTATTGGTGCATTGTCATCCTGATACACGGCACCTCCTTCAGGATACAGTGTTTGAACCATTGGATGCACATGGTCCTCCAGAATGGTTCGGTAGTCCTTGGCAGTGACGCGCCCATCTAGCACAAGTATGGGGCCAAGGGAATGCCATGATATGGCAGCCCAAACCATCACTGATCCACCCCCATGCTTCACTCTGGGCATGCAACAGTCTGGGTGGTACGCTTCTTTGGGGCTTCTCCACACCGTAACTCTCCCGGATTTGGGGAAAACCGTAAAGGCGGACTCATCAGAGAACAATACATGTTTCACACTGTCCACATCCCAAGATTTGCGCTCCTTGCACCATTGAAACCGACGTTTGGCATTGGCACGAGTGACCAAAGGTTTGGCTATAGCAGCCCGGCCGTGTTTATTGACCCTGTGGAGCTCCCGACTCCACAGTTTTGGTGGAAACAGGAGAGCTGAGGTGCACATTTAATTCTGCTGTGATTTGGGCAGCCGTGGGTTTATGTTTTTTGGATACAATCCGGGTTAGCACCCGAACATCCCTTTCAGACAGCTTCCTCTTGCATCCACCGTTAATCCTGTTTGATGAGGTTCGTCCTTCTTGGTGGTATGCTGACATTACCCTGGATACCGTGGCTCTTGATACATCACAAAGACTTGCTGTCTTGGTCACAGATGCGCCAGCAAGACGTGCACCAACAATTGGTCCTCTTTTGAATTCTGGTATGTCACCCATGATGCTGTGTGCATTGCAAACTGTGCTCTTACCATGCTAATTGGACCTTCACAGTCTGCTCTTATTGGTTCAATGTGCAATTAATGAAGATTGGCCACCAGGCTGGTCCAATTTAGCCATGAAACCTCCCACACTAAAATGAGAGGTGTTTCAGTTTCATTGTCCAACCCCTGTACTTTCTCTGTGTAAAATTATGGTTTCCAAATGGAAATAACAATAACAACTGCTTCTCCATTATCATTTTGTTTTGTCTCTCATCCTCAAGGAGGTGCTGACACTCGCTCGCATTTGAAAAATACCTTTGCATCCATTTATTCCGCATGTTAATTTGTGTTAAAGATGTGTACGCTTCGAAATTTACTTGGCTTGTCGGCCTCCTAAGGGTTGATCGAGTGAATCTGATCAGAAGTAACTGATGGCTGTTGGCGTTTGTGATTCTTAGGAAGCTTTGCCACCATTCTTCGTTTTCCGTGCTCTGCATTAGCGTTGGTTAGATAAGTATTTCCACCGTTCATTTTAGCCCGTTTTAACATCATGTAACCAAAAATGTAGCATATCTACTATCAACAGCTGAGTTTCAGATGGAGTAGCAGCTTCCTTTTGCTGTGATCACAGCTTGTCTTAATCAGAGTTCTTTCCCAGAAATACTTTTGAACCCTCAGTTCCTGTTTTGTTTGAGCCTGTGAACTTCCAGGGCCTGGCCATCTTAATATTTGTTGTTTAATAAAAAGGTCCTCAAGTTGTTGTCCTCAGCCTCAGTTACAGGTGTGGGTAGAATCCTATTTTCTCTCCATTTTGTAAAAACATGTCTATGATGGCGTGTGCAGTTTTACTGTTTACTCATCCCTTTAATGGTAACTGTGGGACAGGCTGACAGAAACTCTCTGTTCTCACACTCGCAGATTCTCACTCCCTCCTGGTGTTTGGCTTACAACAATGAGAAAAGAGCTATATTTACATGAGCCAAGAGGCCACGCAGCACTTTAGTTAGCTTTTCATGCACAGCAAGTATGGTTTCAAACATGATATATTTATTCGACTTTGGAATTTTTAAATAATTAATTGGTTTTGTAAGCTTCTGTTACAGTTTGATTTATATATATATATATATATACAGAGAGAGAGAGATATACATATATATTATCTACTGGTATATAGATATATATAACCAGCCAAATCTGCTCTTTGAAACCAGTATACTCAGGTTTGATTTAGTTTTTTGTTTTTTTAAGGCGACCGGGTCTCTTCCATGCTGCCGACGTTAGCCTGCAGACTGAGCCCTCTCGTAAAGATGGACAATTACAAATGCCACACATGATAATGTCAGCCTCTCTTCCTCAGCACGCGATTCTCTCTTTACAGCTTTGTTTTGTATTTACGTCACCAGCTCAGCCAGGCCATCCTCCTCTTGCCTGAGGTGTTGTGTAATGCCTACTCTAGCAGCAAGCAGCCATGTGTGTGTAAAACTGAAGGAGAGCATGTTTCCATGGCAGCCGTGAGCTGGAACAGCTGAACAGTAGCAGGCCTAGATAGATAGATAGATAGATAGATAGATAGATAGATAGATAGATAG